CTCTCTCACTCTTTCTCTCTCTCACTCTTTCTCTCTCTCACTCTTTCTTTATCTCTCTCTCTCTCTCTGTCTGTCAGTCTCTGGATATTTATGATATTTTGATTTTATGGGGTAGTTTACATGAAGCGACATCATTTTCAAGATTTTTTCAAATATGGCTCCAAACTTTTTGATTATACTTTCCCCTCCGATAGGGTAAATACATCTTTTAAAGATGGCGTGTCTCATTTTTGTTAAAACCCCTTTTTATTCGAAAATTGTAAAAGTTCAATTTTTTTCGGTGTCTTTTTACAACTACAATATTGAAGATATTTTTTATTGAACGAAATCAAATGTTTGAAGACATCTTAAAATAACATCATACTCGGAAATATATGTAGTTTTCACGTAACTTTGAGTAAAATACAGGCACTTTTAAAATGATAATTTTCTCAAAAACTGCTCCAATTTTTTTAAATGTTGTCATTGTAAAAGGGTACTCAAATGGGGCTGGTTCTGTTTTTGACGAACACACTATATTTTCAAATATTGCAAAAAATTAACTTAGCAAAAAGAACAATATTGAAGAAAGAAATTTTTGTGTTAAATGAAAAATGTTCTATTAAAATCAATATTCAATAATGTCGTGTATGTTCTTTTTGTTGAAAAAACAGGTAGTTTTTGCATAATTTCTACTTGAAGTTAACACAACTTTTAAAAAACTTCTGAAAAACCGCTCCACATTATTTTACGCATAGAACAAGGGACGCGTAAAATAAAAGACAAAGGTTTCATTTTCGATGAAATCTTTAAATTTTCCAAAAATTCCAAAAGTTAGAGATAATGCGAAAATGTGTGTGATATTACACTAGTATACTTCGATTTATTTGTAGTGACACTTGACGTAAGTCAAGTGTTACGGTGTTATCAAAACGGGAGCTTGAACGTCACTAGTGACGTCATTATGACGTTTTGTTCAAGCTCGCGATTGGATGTCACCATCACTGATGAAACGTCAAGTACCATCGTAAATAAATCGAAGTATAGTTTGTGGTAAGAGTTGAAAACAAAATGAATATTAAAACGACCGCACAATACCTTACGGTAGAGATACACTGTCATGTTAAACTATTAAAGTGTACAATTTTCAAGGAATACGAAAGCTAATGATTCTTATTGTTAAACGCCGCAAAAGTATTCGTAGGCATAATTCCACAACCTTGAGAATCACAAGAGCCTAACAGAGAGATAAAAATCTTCAAACATTTGTAATGACATTTGATTCAAGCAAATGGGGGAAACAATCAGCCTTAAATCATAGCAATAATAATTATTACGGAAATGTAAGAACATAAGCAGATCTTAAGACGCTCGAATACGTACTTGACTGGCGTTGTAGATGGGAAGAAAGCCAAGTGTATCGCCACGCGCAGTGGAGGCCTGGCGGCAGCGAAGGCGACTGCAAGAAGGGAAGCATCGCACATGGCGAGTCATTCGTTTATAAGCGATGTATGACGCAAGGGATCGATGCACCAATCAGAAGCTATCTTACATCTGTGGGCCCGGCTTGGCGGTGCAAATGCAGATGGCGGCTAATTCGAAACTGTAAGTCCACCTAAATACCTACTAAAATAAATTTGCTTGTTTGCTTCAGTGTACATTGAGAAAGAAACTGGAAAAGGTTTCGAAACGTTGATCAATAAATGTTACAATAAAAACAAACCTGACTGTCTGTAAATAAATCCTGGACCATTTTCCTGATAATGCATTAGATTTGCTTTGGTTAACCTTCCAGTAAATACGGAAGAGAAAGAATACCTGGCGTGTACAAAGCCTAAAACTATTTACAAGAGAAGTCATAGGCGCAAACAGGATATTTATGTATGTGTGTGTGTGTTGGGGGGGGGGTATAGAGGCAAGCCGAGATGATGTTTTATTACAAAGAATTTTTCATTTATGCGGAATGCAATAGTTATTTATGGACCAAGGGAATTATACGAAGGGTTCTATTGACTGAGCGGTGGCAAAAAGCCCTAGGGCCAGTGCCGGCGCTAGGCTTGTGCAGGCCGGGCGATTGCCCGGGGCCCTGTAAGTCAAAGGGCGCAATGATGGAAAAAGTATTAAAACATTAAAAAATAAATTAGAACTCGAGAAAATCGGAATACAGTAGTCGTATATTTCATAAAATGTTCAATTATTTTTTATCTTAATGTGATTATCGTGATACTTATAAGGTAGGACTATGAAAGGAATCAAATGACGCAAACATTAAAATAGATTCTACTGAAATTCATATTTATTATTTCACATATTGAACAAATAATATGATTAAACACTAACTAAACTAAGCACTTTTTGGCGTTTTAAATATAAAAAAATAACATACTTGAATAAATGAAACGTAAAAATATGTAACGTACTTTAATAAATTACACATTACGGGTGACGATTTCATTAAGCATTAATACGAGGAGAGAGACGCGAAATCTTCCACTGGCGCTGTTCTCACGACTCCCGCGGCGAGAGTCCGCACCAAAAGCCTCCTCTAGCGAGGAGATTCATGCTGGACTTGAACCGCACAAGGTACTCCATCTTGGCGGTCGGGTGCAGGTCAAAGGCGCTTAACAGGTGTGCTAGCGCCGCTTTTATTTCGATTAAAGCGAATCTCTAATAATCGAAAATAATCGAAATCGCTATAAATCGAAATAAACAAATAAAAGAAGGTTAGTCTCACATTTTGACGTGCTCCCTTCCGGAATTGGGTATTATTTTAGAATGCGCTTTGAAATATGGGTATTTGTTTTTTGTTACTAGCCAATGCTGATTCTGGGACCCACACCGAATGGCACATACGAATAAGGCTTGATTTTGTGTTTATTTTCATCATTGAATCGTTCAAGATAGAATTTTTCTGGTTGATCCACGTAATGGGCAATTATATGCTAACCGATGATTGGTAATTGTACGATTGTTCCCTTCGTAAGGGTAATAGCTTTGGATGTTGAAGTACCTGGTAGAGGAGTGTCTTTTTGGCAGACACGATCTATTGTTGGATTGGGTGGATACATTCTAAAATGCTCTGAAAAAATACAAATATATTTTTCAAAATGTTTGCAACATTGTTGGGAAATAATGGACAAACAATCGTCCTAAATATTGTCCGCTTTGCAAAAAATAAATTGTATGGAAAAACAAAATTATGTGACATGTGTGAAATTGGTTTTAGTTTTTAAACTCCGTATGTTAAGCCAACATGATAGGATATAAACGATCGATAAATGATCGGTGTTTGAGTAATATATTGTGGCGTTATGGGATTGCGCAACCCCATAACACCACTGTCTCATGTGTGAACACTACGGAGGCAGCAAGGATAACAGACGCGTAAGGCAGAGGTACTTAAACGCGCGGCCTGGTATCCGTTGTCCGTACTAAACGAATGTGAACTTGCAAGTAATGTTTTCCTTGTGAAGGGTTAAGAGAGGGGAAGTGGCGGCCCTACCACGAAATTTCCCCAGGCGTCGCGCCATAAATACGCGAACCCGCAAGCGGAAGCCCTTTTTTTTCTTGCCACCACGCGCCGAGTAAGCAGCTGCTCTTTTGATCACCGTTCGCCGAGTCAACATTT